TGTTTGTCTCTTACATCTTTGAAACACTCCTCTGTTCACCTCTGTTCTGATGTATCATTAGAACACCAATGCACCCAAGATAAGTGATGGAAAACGCTTGAATAAATGGATTCGAGAATAGACAAACAAGCAAACTTAGCTAAAACCATGTTTTGCTGTCAACCCAACACTGACGATTTATGATAAAACAAGTTAGATCAGCAGTAAAATATGGCGTCGTATTGTGGATTCATAAAAGAATGCGAGATTTCATAAAAGAACAAAATTCACATTAATATTGTAATGAAATAGTATGCGGAATTGAATGAGCAATCTTTAAGAACATAAAGGCTCAATTTAGAAACATAGGTTAGTAACAATTGAATCCAGTCTTTAAGGAAGGAAATGCTTATAAAACTGTTAAGATTAAAATTTCCCATTATGAACTCCATGTGGAAATATGGGGTAAAGCGGAAGGACGAACTAATTCATTCTTATTGTAGCATTAGTTATACGAGGATTAAAAAAAAGAATTTAAAATACGAACGAGTATATAGTTTACCTAAGACAGTCTAAAATACTACTATTCCACTCACATCATCCGAAACGGCGTTAAGAATTAACTGTTTGCGACAAGCAGAGGCAATGGTGGACTCGATATGATCCAAAGCCGCCCACTGTCTCTTCACAAGAACGCGAGCATTAACATGAGCGGCTAATGTCTCACCAGTTAATTGCATTTTCACTGAAAGATGGCAACCAAGAAGATAAAGTTCCACAGCCTCTGTATAGTCCATGCTGTCAAGACCAGACCAAATCTAGTAAGGAGATATTATTACAGCACAATAGATCTAACATACCATCTCGGGAAGGTCAAGAAGGAGTTTCAGTTGTGAGGCAATCAACTTCTTGGGATCACGAGCATGCTGACGTGAAGTATGACTAAAAGAAAAATTATCTTACCCATTCAAAATACAAACCTATTCAAAAAATTAGTCGGATTGTAGATACAACAAGACTCTAACTCTGATAATTTATCCGTGATCTATAATGCAAATAATTTAGATGGGACTAATTTACACTGTGACTAAAATCTTTCATAATTAGAATGTTGTCAGAGGCCTCAATGACATCTCGATGTCGCTCGCCGACAAGGAAACGAAGTTCCATCTTTTTGCTTTCAACATCATTCCTATTTAATTGCGTTAGGTAAAATAATGAAAAAAGTACCTTATTCCGACACACATTCGGCGGATTTCATCGACAGAGTATCTTTCGAATAACTCTGTGACTGTATGCTCCGTCATGATGCTACAGAAGAATGTAAGTTAATTAGTTATACGAAAATATGGAAATTAAAAAAATAACTCCCCAAATAATGTTCAAATAAGATAATCTTAATAAATGGTTTTTAGTAATTGTCAATTATGGCAGAATTGAAATAACTGCATATTTTAGCGATAAATTAATAATGAAATGTTGTTCAAGATTTCGACATATTTTAAAAAGGCTATGGAAAAGATAATGAAAAGTTAGAGTAGAATCCCCCCTATAAACCTTGCGCCAACATTAAAATACTGTCCCCACAGGTTTTCAAGAAAGGCTAAAATCGAAAGAGCACGTAGGTCAAAAGTAATTAATCACTACATTTAACTGTTACCTTCACATAAAGTAAATAAACCAATACTCTATTTTAATTTCTAAATTTATCATGAGATACACTTTAAAATTAATTTTTATTCTAGCATCAATTGGCCTTCTTTTAGTGCATGATGTTTAATTAGACATGTCGCTGTCTATAAAAAATTCAATACTAGGCTGAAACTATTAAAAGTACCAACTTGAAAGCTTTTAGCTATCTGCAAAACCGTTGAGACTTACTTAATCGATATGACTTGGCTGCAAATTTCTTAAATTGTCAATTAGTTCACCCAAATCGTACATCGATGACAAATATTTAAAAGAGTTTAAAAGTTTTCCTAAAAAGCGTTTCGTTAATAAATTTATATTTCAAATTTTTCCAATACGATAATTATATATCAAATAAAGATTTGTGGGATCACAGCATTAGCGTGTCTAGCTAAATGCCTCCTCGATTAATCAACGCCAAAAGCAAGAATGCTCTATCAACGTTTAAAGGCAGTACGTAAATATCCGCCCACTCAGTTAACTAGTTCATCATCATCAAGCTGTCAGGCTTGCACACAGATTGCCTGCAAATCATCAGGATATACCCTATAAACATGGCAGCCATTCCAAACATAGGAGAAACTACAGGAGAGATTTCTGAATATAGTTAATGCTTATTAGTGAAACCATCCACAACAGAAGCAATGGTGACCTGTGGCTTTACAAACGAATTATCTGAAAAAATGAAAGGGAAATGAATGTAAACGGAAAAGTTATATACTTCAATAGTGTCAGCTGAACAAACTTTAATCGAAAATCATAAACGTAGTATTAATTAATTGAGGTAAAAACGTGTCCGAAAATTTTTGATAAATCCTAAAAACTTTTCATTTTCTGAATGAAATATACGCTCATGAGTTTCCGCGCATTGAACGCTCAATGCTATGGCAAAATAATAAATCTGAAATAATATAATGATGTGAATAAAAGCCCCTAAAAAACATTATAATCGGATATAATATACAAATAGACGAAATTCATAGATGCCAAGTTAGTAGTTAATACTTTGCAAATTAAAGTCACATCTATATTTGAGCATAATTGTAAAATAAAAGACATGTATGTATGTAGTATTTGGACGTCATCCGAAGCGCTTTAACAAGGTGTTACCTATTAGTAAATTAAGAGAAGTATATCATTTATAATTCTTGAAAAATTTCGAGGGATATAGTATATTATCAATCATGTAAAATTTATTTAAAATGAAAAAATTTACGGATTTTTGTAAAAGCTGCTTTTCATTAGTATAATTCGACCGGTGTTTTAAGTATCCATAAACTTATGGGTGTTGCAAAGTTTCGAATTTGGTGTTTCTCAACTGGGTGACCAACTTTTGTATATCAATGTGGTTTCAATAACTGTCACTTTGTTGTCTGACAGTTTACGTATATCCTATTCAAAGGTGAGTAAAATGATGAATTTTGCAGGTGCCATCTGATGGTTCTGTCCGTCTGGACGAGAATCGATGATAATATTATCCTTGCCCTGAAGTGAATAATAATGTTGTTTATGTTTTAGATTGAGTATTTTTCTCGCAATGCTGGAGCTATAGTCGAAATTGTCGTTAGTTGGGATCAATCGTCGACAATGATAATTGGAGGTAAGCTTGTCATCCATAGACCCACGGTTGCTAATGAAATAAGGTTTCTGCGATATATGGGTCTAATTTTAAAATGATTTGCTTTACTGTTTCTCTTTAATAAAATCCATACCGTTCCTAATCATGACTTTAAATTCAAAAATTTTGGACATTAGGGGTGTCAGTAGAGTGACAAAGCGTAGCGTTCAAATGGCGTGGTATTCACCGAAATATTGCCATTCAAACATCCAATCAGCATTTGAACGTGCGGAATAGAGTAGTACCGACAGTCTGAAAGAAAAAAGACAAGAATTTACCCAAATAGCCAAATTTGCAGTGAGTCAAGAGATTAATGTTCCAAGGCGCTTAATCAGAACTCTACAAAATAATGACATGAGGTCCACCTCAACAATAAAACCGAAATCAATGCAAAAAAAATACGAAAGACAAACGGGAGGGAGATGGTTTGCCAAGTGCGATGGTGGCGGCGTAATGTCTGCCTGCCACAGAGAGGACCCAGGTCTGACCCAAGCTCATCTACCAGCAGATTGGAGGTCTGGCAATTTGTCAGTAGTATGTCCGTAGCAATTGAGGTGGTTGTGACGGCGCATAGCCACGCTTAGTTGGCCGAGTGGGCAGGAGAGTTGGGATGCCACGCAGCACACTTTGGTGGAAAGTGAGCTACAGAAGGCGCGCCAAGGCTGCCTTTGTGGCCCATGTGGCTATTGGGAGGGTTGAGTGGGTGAGCGCGGTGAAGATGGCAAGTAGGTGTGGAGGTGTAAGGCGAGTGAGACGGCACGATCGGTTTCATGATTGTACTTCTAGGGATCACTCCTACAGTACGCATCACCAGGACGTCAGTCAAACCTGATCCTGGATACCCAACCGTGTTGAGGAAGCGTGTCGCGCGTCCGTCAGCGTGATAAGGCTCATGGCTGTTAGCGCTAATACCGAGCTGACCTGGCCGTTTGCCTAGTCGATCGCATTGTCGGAGAGTGGGTTGTGACTCTGCGCTCTCGCCCTCCTCGCCTGCGTGGTGAGGAGGGTGTGTGAGTGAGTG